TTCAAAACAACCCCTCAACTCACAACATTTATCCAAAACAACCCTCAAATTTTTTGATAACAAACCCAATTATCACATTATCCTCCTCTATAAGAAATTATGTCACACAATTCAATCAATCAAACAACTGGGGATACTTCTTTCTCATTTCTGACTCTAGTTCCCAAGTAGCCTTTTGTCCCTTATGAAATCGCAACTGAACTTTCAGCAGACTAATTTCTTTATTTCTCAACACTTTAGTATTCTGGTCGGTGACGGCTTATGGGGTTTTCGCTAAGCTTAACTTGCGATCAATCTGAATCTCAAGTAAAGGTACAACCATATTTGGATCAGCCAAACACTTTCACAAATTAGATACATGGAAAGTGTTGTGAATAGCGTTGAGTTCTTCAGGCAATTCTAATTGATACGCTATTGTACCAATCCGTTTACTGATTCTGAATGACCCAATGTACCTTGGACTCAGTTTATCTCTTTTTCCAAATTGCACAATACCCTTCCACGGTGATACTTTCAGCATTACATAGTCTCCCACCAAAAATTCAATCAGCTTTCTATGCTTATCGACGTAACTCTTTTGTCGGTCCTGAGCTGTCTTTATTCTTTCTCAAATTTGATCTATCTTTTCGGTCGTTAACTCTACAATATCCGGACAAACCAATTGTTTCTCCCCCACATCATTCCAACATAACGGTGTTCTACATTTTCAATCATACACAACCTCATATGGTGCCACTTAGATGCTGGAATGATAACTGTTTTTGTCGGAAAATTCGATCAATGGTAGATGATTCTCCCATGAACCCTCGAATTCAATGATACAAACTCTTAACATATCTTCGAGGGCCTGAATCGTTCGTTCACTTTTCCCATCAGTCTGTGGGTGATATGTCGCACTTAACCGAATTTGAGATCCCATAGCTTTCTAAAAAAATTTCCAGAATTTTGAGGTAAACCGACTGTCCCTATTGAAATGATTGATAAGGGAACACCGCGACGAGTCACAATCTCATTGATATAGATCTTTGCAAGTCTTTCTAATGGATAAGTCTCTTTGATCGGTAGAAAGTGCCCATACTTATCCGACGATCGACAATAACCCAAATAGCATCATATCCTTTCGGAGTTCACGACAGTTTCATTACAAAAACCATCGTGATATAATTCCATTTGCACATAGGAATTTCTAAAGATTGCAAATTTCCATAGGGTCGTTGATTTATATTTTTACCTGTAGACACATCAGACACCATTCCATGTACCATGCAATATCCTTCTTCAACCCCAACCACCAGTAGAATGATTTTAAATCTCTTTACATCTTATTGGTACCAGGGTGAATCGAATATCAAGATTTGTGACTTTCATTCAAATTAACTCATGGTTGTTTCCCAAATGAGGCACCTAGATTCTATCTTGGAAACATAGAATTCCACGATTATTCTTTACTAAAATTGCTAATATTCTTCCAATTCTTTTCGCTTTAATATACTCATCTTTAACCGCTTCGTTCTAACATCTCAGGATCTCATAAAGAATGTTAGGGATTAAATTGCTCATAATGCAGTGGCTTTGATTGTTCCACTCTTCTCTTTCTACTGCGTGTGTCAGCTACCACATTCGCCTTCCCAGGGTGATAGAGAATCTCACATCATAGTCATTTACCGATTCAATCAATCGTCTTTGCCTCATATTCAACTCTTTATAATTAAACAGATGTTGAAGACTTATGATTTGTATAAATCTGATATTTATTTCCTAACAAATAATATATCTCTATCTTCAAAGCAAAAACGACTGCTGCAAGCTCTACATGGTGAGTAGGGTACTGTTTTTCGTGATTTTTCAATTGACTGGAAGCATATGCAATTACTTTTCCCCGTTGCATTAGTACACATCCTAGATCCAACTTTGAAGCATCACTATAAATTATAAAATCTTCTGACCCTTCTAGTAACGATAATATTGGAGCACTGCATAACCGATGTTTTAACAACTGGAAGGCTTTAACTTGATCTTCTCCCCATTCATACTTTACGCTCTTTCTTGTCAATTGGTCAGAGGTTCCACGATCCGAGAGAAATCTTGAATAAACTTTCCTTAATACTCGCCAAACCTAAGAAACTGTGGATCTCTATGGGCATTCATGGTATCTCCCATTTTTCAATTGCTTCAATCGCTATAGAATCAACTTTTACCCCTGCTTCTGAAATGATGTGACCCAAGAAATGAACTTCTCTTAACCAAAATTCATTTTTTTGACAATTTAGCGTACAACTTTTCCCTCTTAAAAAGTTCAAGGATTAAACGAAGATGCTCGACAGGTTCTGCTTCTTATCGAGAGTAAATAAGAATATCATCGATAAAAACAATAACAAATTTATCGAGGTATTCATTACATACTCTATTCATTAGATCCATAAAACGCGTCTGGAGCGTTAGTCAAACCGAAGCACATAACCAAAAACTCATGGTGTCCATACCTAGTACGAAAAGCAATTTTGGCTATATCTTCATCTCAAAATATCAATTGATGATATCCCGACCGTAAATTGATTTTTGAGAAATAATTGGCCCCAACTAACTGATCAAATAAATCATCAATTCTTGATAAGGGATATTTATTCTTTATGGCCAATTTGTTCAATTCTCGGTAATCAATACACATTCGCATCGACCCATCTTTCTTTTTAACAAATAGTACTGGAACACCCCAAGGAGATGTGCTAGGTCTAATGAAACCTTTATCTAGTAACTCTTTCAACTGGGTCATTAACTCTTTCAGCTAGATGGTGCCAACCAATACGGTGCTCTAGATACCGGTGCCATTCCGGGTGTTTGGTCAATTTTGAACTCAATTGATCGATCGGGAAGTAAACTGGACAATTCATCAGGAAATACGTCTGGGTACTCACAAACTACTGGAATGGATTCATGTTTACCTTTCTCTTTCTTCGAATCAACCATGTAAGTCAGAAAGCTTTAACACCCCTTCTGAATCCATATCCGAGATTTCATAACAGAAATCAGGATTGTATGATGATCCCGCCGATCACCATAGATCACAATTTGGCCCTTTCCCTGACAGATCAATATGTATCATCTTTTTTATTACACACAATACTTTCCTGATTTTCTGCCAACCAATTCCCTTATCGGCATAGGGAATAATCGGATCGGTATCATACACCCTCAAACTCTATTTGGCAATCATTAAAACACTTGGGTAACAGATACTTATAGTCTAGGGGCACAGGTTTCATATATAAACATCCAACAAATAAAGGTAACACAAATGAATAGTTTGCACCATAATCAAATAACACCTTATCATATACTGATTTTATAAGAAACATACCCGTTACCACATTACGAACTTCCTCCGCCACCCCTCTTGACATATGGAAGGATCGCCCTTTTGCCCTTTCAAATTCACCTATTTTAATACTACTACGCCCATGGGTACTATGAGTATTTCTAGTCACATTTGATCTTTTACTCCTCAGTTGTAGGCAATCTGGCCTGATATGATTGGGAGAGTTACAATGAAAACAACGTTGAGGCATTTGAAAATCTCTAGACAAATTCCCCGGTTCCCCACACCTATAACACTTTCTTTGTTCAACATTGCAGTCACCTTGATGGATGCGGTGACATCTTGGACACGGTTGTTCATTGAATTTTTGAACTGAACGATTCTTTGATTTTACAAAATTTCGTCTCCTAAATTTCGTTGAAGACCCCTCCCATTTTCTCATTTCCGCCACTCTTTCTCTCACCTGCCTATTCTTATTCCTCTTAGTAGTTTCGGCTGCACCAACAACAAATGGGAACGTAATGGGATCCATTGCAATTACAATCTCTCAAATATCCCCAAATGTACCGATTAACCTTGCAATATTTCGAAGATATATAATGTTCAACAAATCGGGAGCATTCGAGAAATTCTTTGTATACTTCTGCACAGTTTGATTCCCTTGTTCTAACTTCAGAAACTCTTCCTCCAGCTGCCTTACTGTCGATTTAGGGCAGAATTGTTCTTTGAAACTATCCACGAATTCCATCCATGACATTGATTATAAATATTAGGTTTAGATAACGACTCAACTTCCCACCAGTACGAAGCATTGGATTTGAACATTGAAACAACAAATCTAACTTGATCTTCATATAAGCACTTACGAGTGTTAAAGACCGACTCAATTTCTTTCAACCAACACATGGCCTTTATCGGGTCTCTCTCACTAGAGAATGTCGGAGGTTTACATGTCAAGAACATTTTAATATCACCCCCTCTTTCATATGAAGTATGAACTTGCAGATTTATTTTCACTCGTTCAGTTTCTACTATGATAGGTATTCCTAGTATAGAACTTAAAGTATTTTGTAGTTTACTCATTTCTTTTGCAAGCATATCCCGAGTAACATACTCAGGATGTTCATTTGTTCCTCATTAACATTTTCTTGAATGGATTCCCCTTGTTCCAGATGAACCTCGGGATGAATACTTCGTCTTCTTCCCCGACCCCTTCTTCTGCCCTTGCCTATGTCTCTTTCTCTACCTCGAACAACAGGTATATTCTCTTGAAAATTTTCAGGGGAACTTTCTCTTTCACCTGGATTTATCAGAGCAATCCTTTCAGATATTCTTGAATGACTTGTCATCTGACAATTTACAAAATTTAACATTCACATAATCACATTCCCAAATATAATAAGGTATCCAAACACAAATATACACCTGTAACCTAGGATTACATTGGCTAGTTGTAATTTGAATTTACCTTACATATCGTTCTTTTAACCCATCATATTTATTCCAAAGGTACTACTATTGTCAGGGACCCATAATATGCAAATAATACAGTTTAAGTCTATGCATCATGCTAAATACCTAAATCTCTTAAACTCAGGCTTTAATACCAAACTTGTAAAACACCAAATCCATATTTAGATAAAGTTACATATTCCATTTAAAATGAAATACAAATATACACATTGGTCCCAAATGTACAACTGCTCTATATAAAAGTAGCCACAAACTTTTCATTTACATCAAGTACATGACTTGCAGACATAACAAGTTCTCAAGTACATATACAATAACAACTTCCAAAATTCACAAAAATGTAATGCAATCAGGATCTCCTTCACATTTTTCCCTTTTCCTTACTCTCCTCATATGCCCGACCTGTAATGCACAATTTTAAAACAAAACGGGGGTTAGACAATAAGGTTTAGTGAGAAATCCCTTGTTGAAAATCACCAAAACACTTTTTAGAAAGCTCATATTTGTAATGGTAACAAATAAACAGTGTTTTTTTTTTAAATAAACCTCGTTGTCACATCATATAGATGAGACAACCTCTTTTTTTATCGCATCAACCACTGAAGTACCAAAGTCATCGCATTAAACATAAAAGATACTAACTTGTCGAATATCATTGATCCAATCATATTTTTATCGCATTGTATAAATCTTGTTGCATCATATAGATGCGATAATACACTTTCTCGCATCATAAGGATGTGATTACTTCACTTTGTCGCATCACACTAATACGATAAATAAAACCTGTCGCATCGTTAGGATGCGATAACCAAACTTGTCGTACCTCAAGGATTCGATAACACAATGATTCGCATCACAAGGATGTGATAAATACCTTTCTCGCATCACAAGGATGTGATAACATCATCTCATCGTATCATATAGATGCGATAAATCAAACTCATCGCATCATGAAGATGCGATAACTGTTCCATATGATCAAAATCCCATTTTTACATACATAAGATTTTGTCACCCTTGTACCGATATACGTCTCTCCTGATTATGCCACCCTTATCCCAAAATACGTCTGTCCTGATTTTGTCATCCTTATCCCAAAATACGTCTCTCCTGATTATCCCACCCTTATTCAAACTACTTGATAATCACATATCAAAATACAAAATTATGCTAAAAATATCATATAACATATTCAAAACCCATGTATGAAACCATACGATTTCTTCGTCAAAAACATATCAAATGATGTTTTTGAAAGTAAAACTCACCTTATAAATCACAAAGTGTTGCATATATGAAATAGTAACAATTTTCAGCTAAGAATTACAAAACCAATTTCTTCTTTTCCTTCTTTGGTTTTCTGTTTTGCCTCGAACCAAAGACCCTTACCAATTTTCTTCTTATTCTTTTTCTAAGAACATGGAAATGATAATGACACATAATCACATAAAAACTTTTTTAAAAGAGTGAGGCGGTGGATAAGATATTTTAAAGAAGTTTTCAAAACAACCCCTCAACTTACAATGTTTATCCAGAACAACCCTCAAACTTTTTGATAACAAACCCAATTATCACAATATATATCATGTATGTATTCATAGAACATGAGGATATAAGTTCAAATTTATTTAAGGTTATTATGGTAGAAAATTAAAAATATCATTTAACCCAGTACAACGACAAATATAAAATGTTAAATTTGTTTTTGGATCTCATGTAAACTAAAGGCTATTTCATTTTCTTTTACTAATTATTGATTGATTTTTATTTAATTATTGAGTATTTATCATATATCAGGTTATCAAATTAAATTAATTATATTTTAATGTCATTTAATTTTAACTGCGTCGTTAAGCTTGTAAATGAACCGAATGAACATGAACGGGATCTTGTTATGTTCGTTTGTTTAAGTTAACCGAACAAATGAACAAACGAACATGAACGAACAAAACTTTAGGTGTTCATGTTCGTTCATTTAGAATATACGCATGCTCGTGTTCGTTCATGTTCGTTTGTTAATATGCTAAATGAACTTAAAGAAACATAAACGAACAAATTTTTTTATTCATGTTCGTTCATTTATTAAATAAACGAACATAAATGAACTTTCTGCCAAACGATTCACGAATGGTTCGTTAAACGTTTGATTCATTTACAGGCCTATGCATTGTATAACTTTGATGATTTTAGTTTTGATTTGGTTATTAAATATGCCCTACATATTTATATAGTATGATGTTAACTATAAAAAAATTCAAATGTTTATAAATTTTGTTTTTTTCAAATCCTCTTATAATCTTTATTCACATATTTATATAGTTTGATGTAAACTATAAAAAAGATTCAAATGTTTATAAATTTTGTTTTTCAAATCCTCTTATAATTTTTTGCTATCTTGTTTTGTGTTCTATTGACTATAATTTATGTTTAATACCAATGGAATCAAATCTGGGATCCCTTCCCTGTGGTCATCGAGATAGAAAACTTTAATTATTATTTTTATATCAAAGTCCTTATATTATTTATCAATAGCTTGTGTTGATTTAATTATCTACTATTATAATTTTTTTTGGCTTACTAGTATAATCCATTATATTTTTTAATGACATATTTATTTTATTGTTATCAGCCATAGATGTTGATTTATATTTAATTTGGTTAATTAATTATTAATTATTTTAAGTYTTTATCTAAACTAGACCAATTACATTTATGTTTTCTTTATTTATTCATATTGAGATATTTAATCAGTTTTATTTAGTTAAATCATGAGACCTGTTTTTTAGCTACTTCAAATAAGGAATTAGACTTTTAGTTAGTTTAATTTTGTTTTCACCTCATTTTAATTGGGTTAATATAGTATTTGTAATAACCGGGTTTTATTAAGGAAAGTTTTGGGGTTGTTTTTGAAAAATAATGATAAGTTGAAGGGTGTATTTTGAAAGTTTGGCTTAAAATATCCCTCACCTCACTGCCTCTTGTTTAATATGTGTGTGTGTGTGTTTGATTTTCTTTTATTCTTTTGATTGCTTTTGAGAGAGTTGGTGAGAGTATTCATGGTTACTGGGTTCGAACAAATCGAAGGAAGAAGAAGTATTTGATACGTGATTTTATCTGATTAGTTATTATTGTTTAATATCTTCATCTATGTGTGATTACAAGGTTAGTTATTACTTAAAAGCATCTTTTGATTTGTTTTGATAAGGAACCGTATGATTTCCTGTTTCATACGTGGGGTGTTTTGAAATTGATTTTTTATGTTATTTTTAGCATAATATTGGGATTTGATATGTTATTATCAACTGATTGTAATAAGAGAGACATAATCAGGAGTTGAGTATATTTGGTAATAAGGGTGGAAAATCAGGAGCTGGGTATATTTGGTAACTAGTTGTGTACCCGCGCAATATGGCGGGAGCCATGAATTTTAACGATTTTGAAGTCTCACTGGTTTTATAAGATAAGATTTAACGATGATATAAGTTACACTTGGTCTTTACATATTAATACAATTTGAATAAATAAGAGTTATGGTTCTAATTACAGACTATCGATGAAAAACATTGTATGATAGTTTAAAATCCAATATATTTAAAATCCAACATATTTAAACGACTCCACAAATGTGTTCGATTTACACCAAGAGCAAAGTACCAAGAAACTTGAGTTTTAAGATAAACACTCAAACCAATAAAGAAAACTACAAATTTGACAGATCATAAGCCATGAAAAGACCAAAAAAGATGGGTTTTAGAATGAAATTTCAACTGCTTACCCTCTTTCTTGTCCAGAAACTTAGATTAAGGTTGAAAAAATACATGTATATATATATTTCAAAAAACCC